CCTCCTGACCATCACCACCCCCTCCTGACAATCACCACCCCCTCCTGACCATCACCACTCCCTCCTGACCATCACCACCCCCTCCTGACCATCACCACCCCCTCCTGGCCACCGCCACTCCCTCCTGGCCATCACTACCCCCTCCTGACCATCACCACCCTCTCCTGGCCACCACCACCCCCTCCTGACCATCACCACCCCCTCCTGGCCACCGCCAACCCCTCCTGGCCATGGAGACCCTCTCCTGACCACCGCGAACCCCTCCTGGCCATCATGACTCCCTCCTGGCCATGGTGACCTCCTCCTGGCCATCGCACCCCTCTCCTGGAGATCGCAACCCCCTCCTGGGCATGGCGACCCCTCCCGGGGACGAGGCCGGCTGGGTAGTGCCCCGGAGAGCCCATAGTGAGGAGGAAGTCCCACCCTGTCCACTAAATTTCTTCACGATGCTGGGGCCGGGGCTCAGCCTCTCTGAGCCTCCTTCCCACCTCTGGCAGGGCTGGAGGGGACACGGGTGGATGTTGACTTTCCATGAGGCTCTTCAGATCCTGACCCCTAATCCAGGAGCCGCAGCCCACACTGCGGCCAGGCCCACCGCAGCCTCAGCCTGAAAACCGGGGTGGGAATACCAGGCATCGTGTCATCGCTCCGGGACCCTTTCCTCCCCTCTCCTGTTAGCGCTCTCCTCTGTGGGGCTGACCAGCCCCTGGAGCTGGGGGCGGTGCCTCGGTCACCCGCTGAGGGGCAGTGGCTTTCCTCTCCAGTAAGGGGAAATGTCACAAAGTCACCATACTTTTTTTGGCCCATATTGGAGCTTGAACTGAGAGCCTGGTGCTGTTCTTTAGATTTTTGGCACAAGGCTGGCATGCTGCCACTTGAATCATACCTCCACTTTGGGCTCTTTGCTAGTTAATCGGAGATAAGACTCTCATGGACTTTCCTGCCTGGGCTGGCTTCAAATCCATTCTTGGATGTCAGCCTCCTGAGTAGCTAGGATTGCAGGTGTGACCAGGGGCATCAGGCAGTCATGGATTTTCTGAGCTTCATTCATCTCTCAAGAGGAGAGGAAGCAGGCCCAGAGAGGGGGAGTGATTTGTTCAAGGTTGCACAGCTAGTAACAGAACCTAGTGTGCTTTCTCTCTCTCTCACTCGCCCTTCCTTCCTTCCCTCCTCCTCTGTCTTCCTCTCTCACACTCACACACTCACTCACACACACACATGGGGGGGGGGGAGGAACAGCCCACAGGGTCAGGAGCTGGGAGTAGGAGGGGCACATTTGTGCCAAGGGCTGTTTTGCTCAGTTTCGTGTTAACCGTGCCCCAGCGGGACGCTCTAACACGTGTGGGTCTGCACATTCCTCAGGCAGGACAACAGGGTGTGCTGACAGCCGCAGCTGTGCCAAGCCAGCTCCCTCTCCCCAGCCAGAGAGGCCCGAGGTAGGGGTGAGGGGTGGCTGCGTGGGGGAGGGGGAAGCCTTAGTTCTGGGTTCCTGGATCCTGCCCGGGACCCGGGCTGGTGTCTCTCACTCAGGGAGGGCATAGGCTGGCACCTGGCCTGCAGGTGCCTTCTGGGTGTGATGGGCTCCTGTGTTTCCATGGAAACGATCCCTGCTTTGCATGCTGTCTGTGGCTGTGCACCCGGCCCAGCCTGGATGGCCCCTTGGCCTAGTGGGTGATACAGAGACCCGAGCCGGGGCTGCTGGGGTGCTGGGTTGGCCCCTGTGGGAGGTGCTGGCAGGACCAGCTGGGTCTTTGAAGGGTGTGAGAGGCTCTGAGAGGCTAAGGGCATCTGGGCCTTCCGGCTGCCCAGCTGTCAGGATTACCTGTGTGCAGTCCTGCAGCCAGAGCTTTGATAGCCTTCCTTGGGAAAAGAGGGTGTCATGGGGTGCTATAGTATTTTTTTTTTGCCAGTCCTGGAGCTTGAACTCAGGTGCCTGGGCACTGTTCCTGAGCTGCTTTTAGCTCAAGTCTAGCATTCTACCACTTGAGCCACAGTGCCACTTCCGGCTTTTTCTGTGTATGTGGTCCTGAGGAATTGAACCCAGGGCTTCATGCATGCTAGGCAAGCACTCTACCAGGAAGCCACATTCCCAGCCCCGGGGTGCTGTAGTATTAAATGAGATGTTCCATTTGGAAGCAAAGGTGAGCAGTTGCCACCGTTGGGTGTGGGGGCCCCATCTGGATATCTGGGTTCCCCCAGTTCTGTCCCTTCCCTTGCTTTCCCCATGTCTGGTGGTGAGTGGTCCTGCGTCACCTCCCTCAGGGTCTTTCCAGAATGAAGCCAAGCCCTTGACTGAAGGAGGACAGAACAGGGGAGGAGCAGGGGTGGCGATGAGGTGGGAGGAGGGGGATTCAGAAGTAACTGCAATCTCTTGCCATCTCTCACCTGTAACACTGACAGGTGACCAGGCTGCCATTGCTGGCCTGTTTGCAGAAAAGGAGAAAAACCATGTGAAAATTCATGTAGTGGGGTCAGGATTTGAACTCAGGGCCTTTGTCTTGATGTTCTGTATTATAGCACCCAGTCTATCTTGGATGTTTCAAGAATATTACAAGCTGAGTACTGGTGCCTGTCAATCATAGCTACTCGGAGATTCAAAGTCAGCAGGAAAATCTGAGACATTCTCCCATCCAACTAATCATCAAAAAGCAGGAAGTGAAAGTGTACCTTGAGCAGAGGTACAATCAGCAAGAACTAAACAAGACTAGGAGATCCCGAGTACAAGCCCAGTTTTGGCCCACGGGTGTGTGTGTGCGCACACACACAGAACAATGTAACATGTGAATCACTGGAAAAACTACAGCTCAGGCCCACTGAGTCAGCTGGGGGAAAAAAAGAGCAAAAATGGATCCAGAACATTTCCTTCCTGTAATATCTATAAGCTCTCAGCTCTAAGACACTGGACTCTGGAGGGGCAAAGGGTGGAGTAAGAAAAGTGCCCTTTTGCCCCTCCCTTTGGAATCTCAGCTAGTAGGCTCAGGGAGGGAGCCTGAGGCTAAAGCCAGGCAGCTGATGGGCAGGGTGTCCCAGAGTCGAAGGGCAGGGGGGACAGCCGAGAAGTAAGGGGTGGATGGTAAGAAAGCGATCCTGGAAGTCAGTGTTCACCACAGGGGAGGAGGGAGGAAGGAGAGTGAAGGGGAGGGGAGGGAGGGGCGCTTACAAGGAAAGTCTTTGTCATTGTTTCTTACTATGGGTCTGTCTTCTCAAGAGATACTAGTTTGCAAAGTTAAGAACTTTTTGTTGTTGTCGGGGGTTTTTTTGGCCCACAAATCTCACTGTGTAGCTCAAGCTGGCCTCCAATTCTCAATCCTCCCACCTCAGCCTCCCCAGTGTTAGGGTTACAGGCATGCACTCCCATCCCACCCTGCCTAAAATAAAAAAAAAGGCCAAGGAATGTTTATGTGAAATCAGAGCGGCTGTCTTTGGGAAAACTGAGGAGAAGCCTGTTTTGCTCTCAGTAGGATCCACACTTCGGTGTTTCTCCAGTTTATAGAAGGGCTAATGGGCGTTACTTGCAAATATCTTTCTGCTTCCTCATTGACAAATAGGAGATACACACATTCCATTAGATCAACTCTTACACAGTGCAGAGAGTACCAAGTTCTCCTGAGTATCAGTCATGTCTGCATGGTCTCTCAGGCAAGCCGTCCCCTCCACTGGAGTCAAATGTTAATCTGGTGGGAGTTCCAGATGAGTTCCCTTTATTTGGGAGTTCTCCCTCTTTCCCAAATCGCGTCATGGTGGCTTTCACGATGCAGGGGCTCAGCGATCAGCAGGATGTTTTGAAGTCCCAATGGCTGTCCTTCTGAATCATAAAATCCTGGCATGTTTGAGCTGGGAGGAGCCTTTGCCACCTGGACCATTCTGCTGGTTTAACAACCATCCAGAGACACGTGCACAGCTAATGTCAACAAGGAACGCGAATCTGTGGATGGCACACCTACCTGTCGGCCACACCTGTGTCTCGCTCTGCAGAGGACGCAGCCTGCCACTCCTGTGGGCCACAGCCTCCTCTCAAGGGCAGGCTTCGAGGCAGACACCCGGCTTACCTGAGATAAACTGATTCCTTCATCGTCAAGGTGCAAATCCAGAAGAGAGCTACGGCACGCAGTGTGCACGATACACTTCGAGAATTTAGGAGCAAAAACATCCAGAAATGGCCAGCCTCCTTGGCTCATAGCTGTAATCCCAGTACTCAGGAGGCAGAGGTTTGATGAGGATCAATGGTGGAAGCCAGCCCAGAAAGACAGAGCTGAGACTCTTCAATTAATCAGCAAAGAGCTGCAAGCAAGGTATGGCTCACGTGCTAGAGCACCAGCCTTGAGTGAAAACGCTCAGAACCAGGACCCAGATCTTGAGTTTAAGCCCCAAAACAACAACAGAATATCTGGAAAGGAAACACAGCAGTGCCTAGCATCTTCCTTCCTTTGAGTGCTCCTAGGAGAGCTGTTCTTTCTCACCTGTTGGCTAGATCTGCTCTAACACATTTCAGCTGCTGGTGAAGGAGGCGCCCGAGATGCACTTGGTCCCAGGTGCTGCTTCCGGTTGAGGATGGAGCAACGCTTTCACCTAGAGGGCGATCTGAAAAGGACGAGGCTAAGGTGCTGCTGTAATTTCACTCCTTTGGAGCTGAAATCACAGGCCGCCCAACCGGGCTCAGTCTAGCCTGGGCAGGCCTCAGGGAAATGGCCTGAAAATACTTGGGCGGATCCTTCCATCTGTCAGGTGCAGGAAGGTTCAGCAGGAGACAGCTCCCACCCAGCCACACCGCCCCTTGGTCCTGAGTTTGTTGTCTTGCCTGCAACAAACAAAGGTGCCTGGATGGGACTCAGAGGTTCGGGGTCCCGGGACTGCAGGCTCCAGCCCGGGTTTCTGCTGATACGCAGCTGGCCTTCGTTTTCCACCTGCTCCCTGGGCATAGGACCCCAGCTCAGGTCCCACCCCGTGTGTCCTGTGCTTGGTCACAGACCCAGGGATCCCTTTGTCTTCTAACAGGTGACAACACAGAGGGCAGAAGTTTCTAGAGGATCTAATGAGAGAGACGCTCACACAGGTAAGCTGGCTTTGCGAGGGTTGGCTTTAAGTGCAGGCTATGTGTCCTTTATCCAAAATGCTTGGGATCAGGTTGTGTGTGTGTGTGTGTTAGTACTGGGACTTGAACCCAAAGCCTTGCACACTCTCTTAGCTTTATCAAGGTTGGTGCTCTTGAGCCATAGCTCAAGTCCAGGCTGGCTTTGAACCATGATCTTCAGTTCTCAGCCTCCAGAGTAGCTAGCTAGCGTTACAGGCGTGAGCCATCAGTTCCCAGCTCAGAAGTTTCCCACACTTGGGAATACATACATAAACATAATGAGATACTTGGGACCCGAGAGAATTTCCTCTGGTCTCTCTGCCAGTGCACCTGCTCTGAGGCTCATCCATGCAGGGATTGTAGTGGGCCTGCATTTTGACCCATCACTTGAGGTCAGCGGGTGGAATTTTCTACTTGGGGGATCACAAAGCTTTGGATTTGGGGAGCCTGTCGGATTTCCTCATTCAGGATACCTCACTTGGATTTTGAGACGGTGGCTGCCATGGGGACGAGGTGCTAGATCAGCTGGACCCCTAGAGATGGCTTTGTGGGTGTCAAGGCAGACCTCCTGGCCCCAGGCCAGGGCTCCTCCATTCCCTCAATGTCTGTGTCCTTATGGCTGGTGGTGTGACATCACAATGCCATGGAAATGGGAAGATATCACCACCGAGCCGGCCCTGGTTGGGCCCTAATGAAGCCCAGAGTTGTTTTTTAAGATCTGGGAAGGGCTGCGTCCCTCCCAAGTGACATTTGCTGAATAATACAGGAGGCTGACTCATGGGGTCAGCTTCTCCTCTGTGCTGGGAGGGGCAGACGTTTGTCCTTCACTGGCCAGCCTCCATTTCCTGCTCTGAACATGGAGGGTTGGAGATGGATCTCTGGGCTCCTGGAAGTCCAGGCGATTTTTCACCTTGGAGCTTGGCCTTCCTTGTGTGGGGATGGGGGGAGGGGAGGCCGCCAGCGCATTGTCCCTGTTCTGACACTACAGCCTGGACTATCCCTGAGCCTCACAAACCCAGGCACCTGGACCACCCTCACCCACCTGTGAGAAGGCGGTCACCTCTTCTGCAGCCCTTCCCCTGCCTCCTCACATCCCAAGGACACCTGGTTAAGATCGTACCTTCTAGAAGATTCTATAAGATTAGGGATTCCTTGGTCTTGCATGTTGCTGTTGATATTGACTTGTCTGTGACCTATTCATACTCAGTCCTCTCAGCCCAGAGGGAAGTGTCTGCTCTCCCTCCTGGCCTTCTCCTCTCCCCCTCTTCCCCTTTCCTCTCCCCCTCCTGGGTAGACCCCTTACTATTCCCAGAACACAGAGGTGAGTGCCAGTCCAGAGAGAAGGTGAGGCGCAGTACTTTACTCGTCTCGCCAGGGACCCAGCTCTTGGGGAGCAATGCAATGTGGAACCCACACCCAGACTCTTGAAGATGCCTGACCTCCCCACAGCCGAGTTTGTTCTCCCTGATGGCCAGGCTCTTCTCGCTGGTGGCCTCTCCTTGCCCTTCCCTAGCCATTCCATGGCCTCAAAATCCACTCAGATCCCAGAGCAGAGCCACCAGCGGCCCGTTCCCGTCCCCCCTCCCCTTAAGCCATCTTATCTCCTGCTTTGATTGTCTCTCTAGCACTTACCTTTGGAGATTACGGGAGTTACTCAGCTGCAGCTTGATAAGCATTCTGGGTAGGGCTGTTGTGAGTCCTCGAACCTAGACGGAAGGGAGAGCTGGCTCCCTGCCATTCATGGGGAAATTGGTTCCAGGACACCCCCCCCCCCCCGCTCCAACCCAAGGGCAACCCATGGGGCTCAGGGCATTTATATAAAATGCTCCTCACAGAACCACGCAGTCCTCCTGTATGCTTGAAGGGTTTCTTTTCTTCCTCCTTTTGAGATGAGGTCTCTGCTGTGGAGCCCCAGACTGGCCTCTCCAGCTCGGGCTTCTCCTCCATTAGCCTCCCAAGTCCTGGGATTACAGGTATGTACCACCATGTGGGGCTTTTCTGTTTTTTATTTTATTTTAAAATAATTTTAATTGAGATTAAGTGATGACATAAATTTCACCAATTTCACAGTGTAGTAGGATAGTGATATTTAAAGTCACAAACACATTTTAACCTTCACAAGGCAAATTGCCTGGTCTATAGAGTTTGTGAATTCTACAGGCTTTGACAGTATAACTATTTCTTCCTTGTTAGGTAATATGTACATTTCTTTTGCTTAGGGTTAGCTGTTCTCTTTTTCCCTCTCCCTCCCTCCCTCCCTCCCATCGCTGCCCTTGAGTTGCTTAGTTCATTTTCATCAATGTGCCTGGCTTTTCTGTAATACTTGAAGCTGTGCTCCATATTTCATCCAGTAACTAATGTAAATGTGTGGATGCAGTTGTATTAGATTGTTTAGGGGAGTATAATGGGGAAAGAACCTCAATAAGGATGCAATTTTCCCTCCAAATGTTTCTCTCTCTCTCGTTTTGTCTTGTCTGTCTGTCTTTTTCTTTAGTCCTAGGGCTTGAACTCAAGGCCTGGGCACTGTCTTTTGGCTTTTTAATTCATGGCTGGTGCTCCACCACTTGAAACACAGCTCTACTTCTGGCTTTTTGCTGGTTAATTGGAATTAAGAGTCTCGCATACTTTCCTGCCAGGGCTGGATCTCAGTTTGCTGAGTAGCTGGGATTATAGGGGTGAGCTACCAGCCTCTGTCTGTCTGTCTCTTGTTCTTTTTTTAAAAAAATTTTTTATTGTGAAAATACCATACAGAGGGGTTACAATTACATGGGCAAGGTAATGAGTACATTTCTTATCAAACATTGTTGCCTCCTCCTTTGTTTCCCCTTCCCATCCCTTCCCATCTCCTAGCCTTAAGCTGAAGAGCTGAGGGACCGCTCAGGCCCAGAGTTCAAGCCCCACGACCTACAAAATAAATAAGAAGTTTTGTCTCTTGTTCTTAAACTGAGGATGTAAAGGAGGACAGCGGTGGCTCCGCTCATGTGGTTGTTACTTCCTGGCTCTGCTTAAGTTTTTGGGTTTGGTCCTTTTCATAGTTATTATGTTTAATTTCTCCGTGTTTTCTCCTTTATCTGTGATGCTTCGTGCCCAAACCCCGGGGGGGGGGGTGGGAGAGGGAGGCGTGGGGAGGCCAGCTAGCCATCTTGTTCTCATTCTGCAACTTGCTGGGCCATTCTGCAGAGGAAATCCCTCCTATGACTCATGCCACACGGCCCTGGCATACCAACGGCCTGTGGGAGGCCGGGCCCACCCACTCGCCCCCACTTGCCACTCCTCCGCCCACACACTGTTCTCCACCCCCCCACTTTACCACTAGCTGTTGAGCCGTGGCCAGCACGGGCTGGTGGGTCAGGTGACACGTGAGCCGGCGGGTGCTGCCAAGGTCGACGGCCATTTGTCCAGGCAGCCGGCCAGCCTGGCTTATATAACTTGCCTATTTGTGTGTTTGGCGAGTGCAAGCTCAACTTTGCTCAGAAGTAACTGTAGACAAAAAAAAGTATTTTTTTAAACAAAAGTTCTGCCTTGTGGCATCTATGGTCACACTGCTTTCCACTGGGCAAAACCGCGTGGCTGCCAAGGAGAGGCCCGGGCGGGGCATCCTGGGCACAGGCTCCCCTGGGAAGGGAGCAGAAGATGGCCCCTGTGCGTTCCTGTATGTATCTACCTCAGGAAGAAGCAGGGTTAGGCACGGAGCTCTCGGGAGCCAAGCCTGCCTGAGAGCCAGCGTGTATGGCTGGCTTCCCGGCCCTTCCGCCCTGTAACCCACGCTGGCTGCGCCACTGCATTCTTCTCCCTACTGACTTTGGCTCCGTGCACACTGGGTGGCAAAGGGCAGGGCGTGGCACTGCCCTGTCCAGCTCCTGTGGGGGGGCAATCTGGTGGATGACATAGAAACTGGAGGTGTCGACCCCAGACCCAGATTCCAGGGATTACATGTCGGGTCTGGCTACTCGCCCCTATGTGCCAAAGAAAGAGACATCATAAGGCCAGAGGAGGGAGATTTGTTCAGGAATTGGAGGTATGGCTAGAGTGCTAGCTGTGAGTGAAAAAGCTGGGCAAGAGGGCAAGGCCTGGGGCTGGGAAGGTGGCTCCGTGGTAGAGCGCTTGCCTTGCATGCATGAAGCCCTGGGTTCGATTCTTCAGTATCACACATACAGAAAAAGTCAGAAGTGGTGCTGTAGCTCAAGTGGTAGAGTGCTAGCCTTGAGCAAAAGAAGCTCAGGGACACTGCCCAGGCTCTGAGTTCAAGCTCTGGGACTGGTAAAAAGAACAACAACAACAACAAAAAACAAGACCTGGAGTTCAAGGCCCAGTAAACATGCACACAATGCACACACCCACACCAGTGAATAAACAAGCAAAAATCTTGTTAGGATGCATTATTCTGTGGGGAAACTGCATCTGCAATGTATGTGATGTGTTTATACGTTAAAAACATGTATACATGGGTCCTGCCAGGAGCTTTGTGTTTTCTAGACCAAGAATTGGGTCAGCTGGGTTGTACCTGGCTGATCTTTATCTCAAACTTTGTCTCTGGAGGAGACCCTATGATGTCACTTAATGACCAGAAGGAAACAGGAGCAAGCCTGCCACTGTGGCCTGAAAGGTGCTCTGTCTGTCCTGGGTCACGTCTGTTTTCTTTCTTTGGGGCAGTGTTGCTGTTGCTGTAAGATGATAAGGGGACTCGTGCTGTCTGAGAGGCAGTTTGCCTATGTCACAAGATGCTTAACACTAAAGCCTGTTCTTGCTAAGGCCCCAGGTAATTACAAAGAGATGAGAGGACAGAATGCTCAGATCAAAGGACGCGGATGAAAAGGAGGGCTTGCTCGGGTGCTTTTATCCTGCTTTGCGTTAATATAGGGGCCCAAGTGAGTGAGTACTCCATGCTTTTTAGCAAAAAACAGTTTTTAAGCTGGGCTAGCTACTCTGGAGGCTGAGATCTGAGGATCATGGTTCATAGTCAGCCCAGGCTGAAAAGTCTG